TCAGCACAGGGTATTCTCCTCGGAAGAGCTGAATTCAGATGGTTCCAATGCAGAAGTGGCGAACTTTGGAAACACTAAAGAAGAGAAAGCGCTGTGCCTACACACACACTGCAGCAATAAAGTGAGCCGTCCCTAACGAGCACCTCTTTGGGTCTGTGCTACCTGGCCTGACGCTACGTGGTGCACTATTCCTTACAAATGGGGCAGGTATTCTGATAGTGAATCGAATATGGCCTGACAATAGCTGTGTTATATCTTCTCCTGACCTTGGTTATTGTCTAATTTATGCCCTAGAGCACAATGATTAATATCCTATTTAATTTTATGCCGTAGATACTAGTCTATTTCATGTAAATGGCTAATCACATTTTGAATATCATTAAACTGTTGGGTTTCAATTTCAAAGCATGTAATATACTTCATGTAACCTGAAGTGCCTTTTCTCCATTAAAGCATGTAGCAGTACAATGTTAGCAAAAATTTAACCATTCTGTATACATCCGAAAGAGCTTATAACACAAATTTATATCTGCTTCTGTTAGACGTATGAGTTACGTAGGTAATAAAGTGTAAATCTTTCTTTTATAGACTATTAGGCAACAGGATAGGTAGTTCTTGAAGAAAGATTTATTCTAATTAAAAATCAGATTGCTTTCTCAGTAAGACAAAAGCCTTGGACATGATAATAGATGAACACATTACCATTAACAACAAACGAATTTTAAAGATATGTAGTAAAGAATATATCATAAAATCTTTCCAACAAATGAAGAATGAACCTCTTTTTTTGTTTTGCTTTGCTTTGTTTTGTTTTGCTTTTGAACACAGGACTTTATACATGCCAGGCAAGCACTGTTGCCACTGAGCCAACTCCCCCGCCCAAGAATGCATCGCTTAAACTATAGTTTTCTGTGGTAGAAAAAGTAAACTGCTACTCTTAGGATTGCTGGGGGTGAGGAGACAGAAAGGGCTGCCTGGCTTACAGACTGTATTCCCGTCCCACCACTGAGGAGATGCAGAGCAGCCCCGTCCCCTCCACACCCAGGCTTCCACCCACCGGAGCCCAAACTTCCAAAGAAGATGAGCTCACAAGTGTAAAACGTCTGAAGTAAGTGACTATTTCAAAGGTAAGACAACGTGTAACACCAGAAGTGCTAACAAAGGCAAAACATTAAATGAAGCTAAAATTCTTAAATTAGCCTAAAAAGGGAAGGCATTTATAATAATTTTAATGACAATAAGTAACTACACCAATGACAAAACTGGCCGACAATGACAAAAAGTCATTTAAAAAAAAAGATGGGGGAAAAACTGTAAAACAAAATAATAGCACAATGGATACATTGATCAAGGAGTAAAGTAAAAGAACAGATTAAGAAAGTAAAGAAAAAGCGTAAGAAATGGGACATATAAAAGGAAACTTAAACAATGGATTGGGTAGATCTGATGACAAAAGTAAAATACAGATTTGTCTTAGAAGCATAAAAAATAAAATGGAGGGAACAAAAAAAATTCAAATAATGAAGTTAAATTACCAAGAATTAACACTAGAAACTGACAGAGTGTTTTGTTTTATCATTGCAGGTTCAGCTCCTCTTGGCGGCTCGAAGGCAGGGCGGCCTCGCAGAGGAGAAGCAGCTCAAGGTGGGAGCAGGCAGCAAGGCGGTGAAGGAGTAATGAAGCAGCAGCCTTCTTGCGTCTGTCGTGCCCTGTCCCCACCACGGGCCCTGAGGGCAGGCAGCACCCTCACCCGGGCGACCACTGCATCATTCACGCTCAGACTATGTCAGACCGGTGAGTGGACTAATTTATTGATCTCACACTTGGAATCCCCGCCCCACACACTCTAGGTCCGGCCACCTCCAGAAAGTCCCACTGAGGACTGCACGATGCTTTCCGGGGACACCTAAGCACAAACCATACCGGGTAAACATTAAGTCCATGTTCAGAAAGGGCGAGTTTCAATTATATATGTTTTACCCCAATAAAATTAAGATGAACTAAGCTAAATTTATGACACACGACTACAAATCCAGCACTCTGAAAGGCTGAGGTAGACAGACTGTAAACTCAAACTCAGCCCAGGAAAGTTAACAGATTATAGAACCTGTCTCAAAACTAAGAAATATAAATAAATAAATAAATAAATAAATAAATAAATAGCTAGCTGAACCTACGCAACTCAATTCAAAAGACCAAGGTTCAGTCCCTAACACTGAAATGTTTAAAA